TATGGACCTCCAAACCATTTTACAGCTATATATAGTGCGCCATTGACATTTTCTTTCTTTTTCTTACCTTTTTTTTAGGAGTTTTTCCGGTAATTTATCTTATCAATAATTTCAGTTTTTAATTGTTAAAAAAATATATACATAACTGATAGATTCTAATATAAATTTAACGGCTGAAAAAATAAAAAACTACTGATAATTTATTTTTACAGAAACTATGAGGGAAAGTCTTTTTTTTTTTTTCCCCCCCTTATCCTTCACTTTTGCAAAGTAGAGAATCTTGGATGGAATACTTGACAATACGTAATTCTAAAGTCTACCTAATTCCATTTATGCCCCTAGCTAATAATCTTTGTGAATTTTGGGTTTTATCAGTTTTACGAACCTTAATGATGGACAAAAAAAGAAAGTTATTTCCTTGAGTATTTGAGATTAAAAAAAAAAAAACTAAACACATAAAAAAGAATTCCATATGGGCATGTTACAGAATATATCACTATGATCCGATTCTCCAGCTTCAATTAAATCAATCTTGACAGAAACATTGAGAGAAAACAAACATGAAATATTGTTTATGTAATTGGTATTTAATTATAATAATGTTGGTCATGCGAATATTCCAGCGTAAAAAAGATTAAAAAAAAAAGAAGCAACGTGAATATCTGGTTGTGAGTGCATATCAATGGTCTAAAATTCCTAAAATCGATGTTGCCAATAGTGCCATATCCCTATATAATATGAAATTCAGGAAAAAGAAAAAGAAAAATATTTGTAGACTCAATAGATGGAAGCTTTAGTCCTATAACACTATATAGACGTACAGCTTTGACATTATATAAATAGGACCACCACAAGAGATTATATGAAGTGATGAATCTAGTTGCCTTCCCCACATTGTAGCTCTCAGGAGGGTCCTCTTATTGCCTGGTCACAGGATAATCGAAACCTCAGAAATATACAAATAATATGTTTTTTCCTGTAACAAGCTGGAACATAAATCTTATTAATGTAAGTAATTACTAATTTTTTTCATATTTAAATAATTATTATGGAAGTAGGTGCTCGTATGCCTTTTGTTCGTAACTTGATATATTTTCTAGTGTAAGGATTGAGTGATTGTTGTATTGAATGATTATATAAAGTAAGGACAAATGTGAGAGATATGATTGAATAATAAAATTTATTGCTTAGACTAAGATCAGCACCCACTTAATGCCCCTATCTATTAATTTGAAACTCTTTTTGAAACTAATCGTATATTGCTACTAAATCTACAATATCCAACACATCTAAATTCCATATATATTGGAAACTCTTTTTGATACTTGATATTATACCTCTTTGAAACATGAGCCTATAGTACATTTGTTGGAAAATGGCTTGTAAAGCCATATTAAAGGCACATTTTGAGGTCTATTTTGGAAAGGAACCCAGTTGGATTTTGGGACGGGTCTCGATGAATTTGCGTTCTCCATCACGAGGAGATCAAAATCGAGTATTCATACACTCAAAATGGATATTGGGTGAATGAGAAATTGATGTTCTAAGTATGTCACTTGAAATGATTAAGGTAGTTAGAAATTGAAAAAAAATCCCACATTGGCTAGAAATGAAACCTTGGTGGTGTTTATAAGTGATTGCACTTTGAAACATAAATAAGCATGTATACCAGAGAGACTCTTTCTGGTATACATGTTTAGTTTTGCAATTTTTATTTTTTTTTATTCTGCCCAGGACCTTCCAGCCATTTGGCCTAAACTTAATGCTTGGTAAATGAGCAAAATGGTGTGTAATGGGGCTTAATGGAGACCAATGAAGGAAAACTGAAATTTGCCATGGTTAATAACCTTAATAGTATTAGTTTTCATCATCAAAATCCGAATATATATGAAAAATGTGGCCAGATTCATCATGGGAAAAACTAACGTTTTTGCTCCAATACAATACAGATTAATGTGTGTTTTAAAACACCATAATGTCATGGTCGAATCTGGAGCCTATATAAAGGTCCTACTCTACATGAACAAAACACTTGTACATAACATACTCAACCGAATTCTCTTCTCCTCTCTCTCGGTTCTCTCTTCTTTTTTGAGTTCTTTGTGCATTTTTTGTAGTTTGGTTTTGGTGATAGAGGGAAGGTCCGAGTTCTAGTTCGCCGGACGGTTCCGATAGTGCTTCGAGCTACCGTCGTTGTCGTTGTATCTTAGAAGACAGACGTCCAACGTTGCCTCAAACACTCACCGAAGGGGACGAATCTGTTTTAAAGAAAGCGTGGTTCATGTGCCTCGACATCCTTGCACTTTCGTTTTCCGAGTTTGGTACAAAAGTTGAATTAGTGTTGTATAATCTCGTTATTTTGATCTTGCAAAAGTTATTGTTTTTCTTTGTATTTTCTATATTTTTTTTTGTTCTAACACATTTTACTACTAAGTTGGTACGTAGAATACTTTTAAAAATAAACAATGTTCTTAATGGTTGAATGTAAAAATAATTAAATAGAGTCTTGCAAGAAAGAAAAAACAAAAGAAAAAAAATGAGTTGCAAATATTTTGCAAGATGACAAATTTCACAAACTTTTTCAACCATTTATGGATATTTCAACAACTCTTTGCGACATTCGGTGCATATTGTCAACATTTCTCGATTTATGGACCATCGCGGATGTTAAAAACAAATTTATCCCTCTCCTATTATCCATGTTGAGCTTTTAAATATGGATGATATCGCAAATTTTTTTTTTTATATTTTTTTTATTTTATGGAATAGTATCGTAGAGGTACTTTTCATAATGTCTGAATAGTTTGATGATAAGTTTATCTTTGTCCCTAATGCTTTTACTTTGAAATATAAGTAAGCATGTATACCAGAGAGTCTCTTTCTGGTATACATGTTTAGTTTTGTAATTTTTATTTTTTTTTATTCTGCCCAAGACCTTCCGGCCATTTGGCCTAAACTTAATGCTTGGTAAATGAGCAAAATGGTGTGTAATGGGGCTTAATGGAGACCAATGAAGGAAAACTGAAATTTGCCATGGTTAATAACCTTAATAGTATCAGTTTTCATCATCAAAGTCTGAATATATATGAAAAATGTGGCCAGATTCATCATGGGGAAAACTAACGTTTTTGCTCCAATACAATGCAGATTAATGTGTTTTAAAATACCATAATGTCATGGTCGAATCTGGAGCCTATATAAAGGTCCTACTCTACATGAACAAAACACTTGCACAAAACATACTCAACCAAATTCTCTTCTCCTCTCTCTCGGATCTCTCTTCTTTTCCGAGTTCTTTGTGCATTTTTTGTAGTTTGGTTTTGGTGATAGAGGGAAGGTCCGACTTCTAGTTCGCCGGATGGTTCCGATAGTGCTTTGAGCTACCGTCGTTGTCGTTGTCTCTTAGAAGACACACGTCCAACGTTGCTTCAAACACTCACCGAAGAGGACGAATCTGTTTTAAAGAAAGCGTGGTTCATGTGCCTCGACATCCTTGCAATTTCGTTTTCCGAATTTGGTACAAAAGTTGAATTAGTGTTGTATAATCTCGTTATTCTGATCTTGCAAAAGTTATTGTTTTTCTTTGTATTTTCTATATTTTTTTTGTTCTAACACATTTTACTACTAAGTTGGTACGTAGAATACTTTTAAAAATAAACAATGTTCTTAATGGTTGAACGTAAGAATAATTAAATACAGTCTTGCAAGAAAGAAAAAACAAAAGAAAAAAAATGAGTTGCAAATATTTTGCAAGATGACAAATTTCACAAACTTTTTCAACCATTTATGGATATTTCAACAACTCTTTGCGACAATCGGTGCATATTGTCAACATTTCTCGATTTATGGACCATCGCGGATGTTAAAAATAAATTTATCTCTCTCCTATTGTCCATGTTGAGCTTTTAAAATATGGATGATATCGCAATTTTTTTTTTATATTTTTATTTTATTTTATGGAATAGTATCGTAGAGGTACTTTTCATAATGTCTGAATAGTTTGATGATAAGTTTATCTTTGTCCCTAATGCTTTTTGTCACTTGGCGATGCGCCACTCGTTGCTAGTGGAACAAGTAACAATTTGACACATGTCTAAAGTCTTGTCTTAAGCAAAATCTCCGAGAGAACCTTAACCAAATTTGTATTTATTTACCAACACACTATGTTGTATACATCTTAATGAAAAGTAGGTTTTATGATCTGCATTCTACTATCCTAGTGAAGAATTTAAACATTACTATGTCAGAAGAACAAATGAAAGCATAAACCAATTATTTGCAATATAGTCCTCACATATTTCCCCACAGAACCAACCATCATGTCTTTTGAAGACCACCAAGACACAAGGAAAGATTCCTCCACAATCCTCAAAGATGTCATTATCTGAATAAGTTCTTCCGAGTAGAATCCACAGTCCAATCAATCCTTTTTGCACATCCTTTCTACTAATCAAAAAATTCCATTCCTAATCTCTTTTTGATGGGACTCAGATGGTGAGATGATGAATTTAAAATCGACCAGTAAATCAGCGTCACAAAAAATTAGAGATCAAAGATCACTTCATGACATGACTGATAAGATCAAAAAATTCCATTCCTAATCTCTTTTTGATGGGGCTCGGATGGTGAGATGATGAATTTAAAATCGACCAGTAAATCTGCGTCACAAAAAATTAGAGATCAAAGATCACTTCATGACATGACTGATAATATTCTACAGGATTGATCAGAGTGAAGACAAGTACAGGAACAAGCAGAGGAAAAGTGCGGCGGCTACAGAGTTGTGTCCATAGCATAGCAGCCAAGAACTAGCAGCCAAGGACTCGAAGAAAAGCTGCAAATTGCTGCTGATAAATAAGAAATTTTGGTTTAGGTTTCCGGCATGCACAACTCAGAGTCGTTCAAGAAATGAAATAATTAGATAACATGGCATGAATTAGAATAACATCCGCTCAAGTATTACATAAAAGAGAACTATATTCACTCTGGTGTAACTCATGATGACATGCTTCGCTATGATAGAGTGAGAAAAAGTACATGCTAAAAATGATTTAGCATAAAAGAAGGGCGTTTAGAACCTGCAAGTGCTCTAGAGCATTTTGTGCGCGTGGCTCCACCATGGATGCCTCGAAATCGATATAGAAAAGGTAGTCAAAGTACCTGCAACCAATGAAAAGCGGAGGTTGTCTCATTCATATCAAAGGTCACATTAACAAGGCACAATGACATATTTGAACCGAGTTTTAAGCAGGCCCCGTTTGACAAATGCTTAAACAATTTTGGCGTCATCGGAGTGACTTTTCTTTTTTTACTTTGTAAGAGATTGCTCAATGTAGAAACATAGAGAGAAAGGCAAAACAGGGTTACTAATCTACAACATATCAAGACCAAATACATAGACTTCTATACTATTCTCTTCGCTTTATTTATAGTCAAGATTATAATTCAGTAAAGAACTGATGAGCATGGCATTATGGTGTTATCTGATTCTAAAGATTGCTTGAAAATGATACTCACTTGGCTTTCCCGGTGTTGGAGTCATCAACTACCCTTAATGGTCGGTTTCTTTGTGGCCGGCTTTCAATCTGAATTTTGCATAGAGATTAACTGCAAGATCAAGATTCTAATACTCTCTGTATTATACTGGCAGAATAAATTCTTTGTTCATGTTACCTTTGTCAAATTTATCTCCCTCAGAGAAAACACTGCCAATGCTTTAAACAAAACTCCAGGGCCTTCGTCCAAAGTAAACACAATGCTTGTCTGGAATAGAAGAGAACAATAATATTCGACTTCTGTAATGTTAAGAAAGGATGGCACAAATAGATAAAAATCTTACTTTGAACGGCTTATCAACTCTTGGAATAATTGGATCCCTTGCAAGTACAAGAAAACGTGTTACGTTATAAAGGTCATCCTGCATAAGCCATGAAAGTTATGTAAAGTGAAGTACATGTTCTTCTGAAGCAGAATTTTATAGAATTTGGCATCTGTAGATTACAATACGCGAGAAAAAATGGCATAGGCAGTGACTAATGCTATACAACAGAAATAAAGAATGGTTAGAAACCAAGCAGTCTTTGGTTCATATGAGATTTAATAAAAATAGTTGCATACATTAAAGAAATTAGAAGAAGACTTTACCTGGATGCTTTCTGCTACTACATTGAGGCCATAAATAGTTGCAGCTCGAGCACTCGCAATAACACCGACATCCCTCAGCCTTTTTGACGCAATATACTGAATCAAAATTATGAAAGAAAAACTTTGAGTGAGATTATACATATTAGTATGTCATAGATCAGACAAAGTGACAATAAAGATCTAACAAGACATTTATAAATCACCTGAGCAGCACCGGCCGTATCATCAGCATTTTCTTGGGCCACACCTAACTTACTTAGGAAAGTATCACTTGAGGCAAGTGCCTAAAACCATTGATTTCTAAGAACATTAGCACCACAGTAGTAAAATTTTTAATAGCTTTGTCTAAAGCAACTGTGTGCAAAGAGACAGAACAAAATCACGCACTACTATGAAATGACCCGACATAAAATAATTGCTGACCTGAGGATGACTTAGAACACGCATTAAGTGATCTGCTCTAATTCCCGGTAGAGCCAGAAGGCAGAAATTAACATCCAATTGAACCTCCCCCACAATGTGAAGCCTATGACGGAGGAGTAAATCATAGTTGCGATGGATGCTTCCTCCAGAAGAACTCTCAATCGGAAGAACCGCCTTATCAGCCAGCCATAATTCAACAGCCTGCAATAATAATTATAGAATTAACATCACAAAAAAGGAGCCCACATCCTCAAAACTGAGATCCTTGTTAGCTAAAAAGAATTACCACATGTTAGGGATAATATAGTTTGTTCTGTTGCTACGTGAATATTTGATAAAAGTGATCAAAATTGAACTATTTTCTAGTTTTTGTTGACAGAATGTAAAAACTAGTAGCAGAATAAACCTTAAACGTATCTTCAAACTCATTACAAGGAACTGTTTGACATTTAGGATATGCTTTGAGTGCAGCATCTTCACTATACGATCCCGGTAATCCCTGCGCCAAAATTAGCAACTCAACTGAGAAATGATGAAGCTTTTAGCAGAAAATTCATTGATCTTCTTCTTTCATTTCTCCTTTGTAATAACATCATACCTTGAATGCGATTCGCACCTTGGTATCATCCTTGGAATTGATAGAAAATTCAGAGATGGTTAATGGTCCTGCATGATCGTTTAAAAGTTCAGCTAGTCCGAAACCAGAATTTGTCAAAAGTAATTAACTACCTTGAAACAAAAAGCTAAAGTAATCTTCCTAGGATTAAGGGCACCAATTGGCTTGCGGAGGAATATGTAGGAAGTTGTAACTTCTTATTAAAGACAGAATTAACACATATTTTCATTTATTCTCTTTATTGTCTCAAAGTCTTATGCAGAGGTTTACTAGAACAAATCAGTTTAAAGATATTTCTGATCTCTCATTCAAGTCTTAACATTATCTTTTTCACCATATTACTTTCTGAGCCAGAGTCAACTGAGAAATCCTATACTGAAAAGTAATAATATATACACGAATCCGTAAATTCTTCAATCACATAATAACTATCTAAAAAGTGTCCATTGGTTGTATCCACATGTTACCATAGATACATTACTATTTTTGTATTAGTATAACCAAGAAGTTCATTACAAATTATTAAAAAAAAAAAAACCAAGAATTACCCACTTGGAAAAGAGCTCAAATCTTTGTGCAATCTCTTGGAAATATCACGATGGTCCCGGTGATCGGCAACTCTCCGCATTTCACTCGTTGGCTTTGACAACTTCTTGTCTTCAAAAGAGTTGATCCCACAAGTACGACAAGACGATGAAGCCGAAAGACCAACAAACGACACCATTTTGAAAGCAACCTCCTCGGATGGCCTCAAAGCAAAACTTCCCCTCCTCAATTGAGGAAAACTGTTCCCCGCCACGGCCGCAGACTCCATAGTCATTAGAACATTCAAAAATTTCTCTAAAATCCGATAGAATCCGATCGAAATGTTTCGGATATACAAAGGGTTGTCTTCCTTCTTCTTTTTCTGGTTAAAAAAAATCTGCTTTGCCTAGTGGAGATGCCAACTGCCAAGAAATATGTTGAGCCTTTGCATATTTAAAAAAAAAAAAAAAAGAAAAAAAGAAAAAAAAGAAGAAGCGGACCAAATATAATAATGAACTTGTTTTAGGAGTGGAAAGATTGGTTTGGACTTTTCTTAGATGTTAGCACTTGAAAAGTAGGTGAAGAAAGCTATTGATTTGTGTTTGCATTTCTTGCTTTTGCGGGTGAGACCGTTTCAAGTTCAGTCCAAGTCGTATTGACTGTGATATCTTTGAATTCTTCCTAGTTAAAATTAAAGTCGTTCACACTTATATCAGATCAAAAACGTCGTTCACACTTGTATAAAGACAAAAGGCAGTTTCTTATCTGACATCACACGGATAGTAGACTTGTATACGTTTAGTTCATACATTAGAATCATGTGATTAAAATTATTTTTAATTTATATATATTTTTTAAGAGAGAAAACACTGTAGTAAATCATAAAACATGATTCAAATCATGATTTGAATCATCTAATTAAACATCCCTTAATAGTTAAAAAGTAAGATTATGTTTAATTCGTTGCTTTAAATTTTTAATTTAAGTTAAGATATAATTTTATATAAGAGTTTTTTATTATAATAAAAAATTTAAATGTAATTATTTTTTAAAATTTTTTATTGTAATAAAATTTAAAATTTAAACTTAAATTGATAAAATAAAAAGAGTCTAAATAATTATGAATAGTTCATTTTAAAAGCTCTGAAAAGGGAGGGAAAAAAAAAAAGAAGTTGAGAAACCGGCAAGTATATGTTTTACTTTATTAGGGAAATTTACGGCTACAGTCCCTAGCCTTAAAATGTACCACCATATGAGTCCTTAAAATAACAAAAACAATGCGCGCAGGATTCTTTCGTCTAATTACATTGACGCGATCGTTTATTAATTACCACATGAGCAAAAATGTATAGGACAAAAATAATACTTGGCGTACGCTTTACCTATTATATGTTTGACCTTTTATAAGAAATGGAATAAGAACTGAAAATCGCAATAAATTAGTGACCTAAGTGTAACACTTGTAAAAAGTTAAGGACCGACGGTGCACATTTTAAGCATTTGAGACGCAAGTGTTTAATACTTACAAAAGGTTGAGGACTGAATCCACAAATTACCTACCAATACTTATTTCTGTTTATTAAAATATCTCATAACTACTTGTGAGTTCTACAAGTATGTTCTGTGTTTTGAAAAAAAGAAGAAAAAAAGTGTTGCTTGATTTTTGAATTACGAAGAATGCTCTCAATAATATGTACATACAAACATTATCTGAAACATTAGTTAACTAATAAATTGAACATTTTTTTTTTAAGAATAAGAAGAAGAAGAAGAAGAAGAAGAAGGAGACTTGATGCAGGAGCTATGATTGTGATTCTGTGAGAGGCTTGTTTAATTTCTTAGTAATTAAATACTCAGAATAATACTTGAATAGATATTATTGAGGAGATTTTTTACATTTTAAATATTACAAGTTTTTTAGATTCAAAATACACCAGCAGAATACTTTTTTTATTAGTAAAAGAATTTTCCCTAGTAATTATTTTTATTAATCATATTATGTTATGATCATGCGTATTATGAATTCCTATAACTCTATATATGCAATTTTGGAGGAGTTTCACAATAATTTATCTAGGGTATATGATACAAAAGAACGCTTTTGTTGACAATTAACCGATCTCTTGAATATGAACTGATCAAGATAAGGTTTGACATGGCAGATTCAACTAAATCACAAGTAACTTTCTTCATGATTAGACGACAAAACCATGTTAGTTGGTTATTATCAGCTAATTCCAGTAACTCAATTTTGTACCATTCTTTTTGGGAGGACAGACAATGATTAATTTCTCTACAATTAATCGGTGTCTTTAAAACATAATTTTTACCCTTAAAAAAGCAGATTTGTTTTTTAATCCTTTTCCTAATGTATCAACTTTGTACTTTGGTTAACAAGTAATAAGTAGTAATTTCAATAACAACGTAATTAGTTGTTTTATTTGTTTTCATTGTTGAGTGAAGAATATGCGAGTTGCTGAGGGAGAAGTATTTTTTATAGAAATTAAATGATATTGGGCCTAACTTAACCTAACAAAATTAGCTTGTTAGTGGAGGATTGCCCTCACCTTATTAAGTAGATCATGCTAATATCTCCAACCAATGTGAGATTCTAATAGTATTTAAGAAAATGAAAAATTTACGCTACCTGATGTTCAACAAAAAAGTAGTTGAGATGATAAAAAAATGTTGAGTGTCACAAAAATTTCCATCCTCATCAATTTCTATATATATATATATATATATTCTCAAGTAATCATAGACTCATATTGAAGTCTCAATTGGACTGTTGAGAATAAATTAAACAACCACAGCGAACAACAAGAACTATGATTCGGAATTAAACTCTAAACCTTTGACTTAAACGATAAGAGATACATTATTTTGGTTGAAATCGTTCGGTGATAGGAAAAGACCAATCAAATTTCGTACACAAAATTCAGAGTTAGATTCAATAATCCACCGCAAGCAATACTCTTTTAGGCCCCTTATTCCAGTTTTTTATGAATTCACGAGTGCACTTAATAGACGGGCTTAAATACTTTTTTAAAAGACAAATCCCACATAGTTTAATTGTTCTAACAGCTACGGAGACCTCACTCTAAACACCTTTATTTAGTGTTGTCAAACGTGCCGTGCCAGGCCGGCACGGCACGCTTGACCCCGGGCCCATCACGGGCCTAGGCAGTGCCCCTGCACAGTGCAGGGTCGTGCCTGGGCCGGGCCTGAGAAGGAAAACTCAGGCCCAGTCCAGGCCCTGGCCCTTGTCCATAAGGGCCAGGGCCGGGCCTGGGCCCAGGCCCTTCACGGGCCGGCCCCGGCCCTTGTATTTTTTTTAATTTAATTAAAAAAAATATTAAATGCTCCAAAAGATGCGATTTTATTGAATTGACGTAATAGGAGTACACATAAATGACTGCCTCGTTAAAAACCTTGCTAAGTAAAACCCGTGGGGAGATCGGGACAAAACCTTAGCGAAGGAAAAAAGAGTGCAGTAGCTAGGAATAGTAAATTACAAACCTTAGTACTTCTAGAAGATTCTGTTATTTATAAGTTAGAAAAATATTCTTGCATCGAATCATCTGTGTATTGTTGTTTTCGTCTTCTGGCATCTTCCCAGTCTTTAACGCACATTAGTCCCTCCAAGATATCTGGATGCATTCTGCTTCTCTTCTCGTCAAGAATTTAGTTGCTTGCGCTAAAAGCTTGCTCCGATGCTACCGTTGACACTGGAGTTGTCAGAATGAAACGAGCTATTATGGACAGTATTGGAAAATGATCTGTCTTGCTCTTCCACCACTCTAAGATGTCTAGTTTGTCGTCATCGATTACAAAATTTGCTTCAAAATATTTGACTAGTTCCGTAGACGCTTGTGTTGAGGACGATCCTGCCGTTTTCTCTTTCTTCTTCAAGAAACTCCACGACGATCCTTTAGGCCCCGAACTGGTAGTTGACAACGAAGTTCCCTGT